CCTTCTTAGGGAGCCTTTGTGGTGTAGTGGTCTGAACGCTCAGCATGTAATTGAGAGGTTTGCGGTTCGATTCTCGGCGAAGGCATTGCTAATTTTTCCTTTTGCCTGCTTCGAAAAATTACCTAATGTCTCTACACAGTAAAATTGAAAAAACAAACAGTTTCACTCACACATGTGTCGGATTTGTGCAATACTTATGGGGTCCCACAAAATTTTTATAAATATTATGGGGTCCTGGGGGGGGGCGCGAAAAATCTCAGTGATAAAAAGGGGTGGCGACTGAAAAAAGTTTAAGAAACCCTGGTTTATAGTAAGAAGGGGAGTTTTAATTTTTGCTACAGCATTGGGTATGGAGGTTAGCAGTACAATTAGCAGTCTTGTAGATGTGAAATTTTTGTTTTTACTGCTACAATATCAAAGCCTTGAAAACATTTAAAGACCATTAGATGGCATTCTGTACCAATTACTTTTGAACTGAATACAGTTTTAGAACACTGAGCCTCAATTTGATCGCATTCAGCATAACACTTTGGTGTGGGGGAGGAGGGAAAGTAAACAAACAGAGCTGGTCTCTTTAAGAGGGCACCTGATACAAAAATTAGCATTTCTGATATCTGTTTGAATCTTCTCCCCCCCCTACAATGTACAGTCTTTTAGGTTTACTATATTGGGTTCTGTTATGCCTTGTGTATCTTATCTCTCACATCTCACCTACTTTCCTTCTTATTTTGAACTATGACAAGCAAGAATTATTTATCAGAAGAAGGATATACTCCTGTGGTAAGTAAGCCAATTAATGACATGTATAAGAGTGATGATTCATTTTCTAAAGAGTTAGGGAACGATATTGCTAGTGATTCTGACACAGACATTTTGTCAGAGACTGAGCTCAATGAGTGTTCCATGAAAGATTTTGTAAATAGGCCTTTCTTGTACTTTTTATTAATTTAAAAATTTTATTAATGCATTTTGTCAATTAAAAGTTCAGAATAATTTGATAGTGCTTCTGAAAATTATTTCTCAAAGCAAGCACTTTTTTCATATATATTTTCATGTAAGTAAAACAAAAAGATTATTAAACACTAATTTTAACATACATAATAGCTTAAATAATAATCTAAAATAGTACCAAAAATTATGATGTCAGAACTTAGAAATTCTTTTTTGTGTGTGAATTTTTTTCTAAAGTTAGGCCTAGCAACACAAAAGCTCCGTCCTGTGGGACGATTCCTTTCAATTCCCATCCATCCCCAGGAAACATCTTAAACAATGGCACACCACCTCGAAAGGGTTAGGAAGACATTTCGGGTCAGTGGTATTTTCATTTTAGAACAGTCTTTCTCAGCAATTAAGATAAATTTTATTGAGAAAATTAATTACAATATGCTTTAAACTAAACACAAAAATTAAAATTCTAATTACTATAAAAACAAGTGTAACTGAATGAATTTTATTTTTCTCTTCAATATTAAAGACTCTCTTGATGCTGAACTTGTGACTTCAACTTAGTTAGGGCTAGACTTTCAATTTAGTTTGAATTGACTAACTGTAGTCTAGACCTAACATCAGAATTTTTGGTAGTTAAGCTAATAAATTTCAAGTGTGAAAATATTTGCTTGCATTTATAAGTTGAACCGAATACAGAAAAAATGGCAAAGCCAATTTTTTGGAATTATGGACTGTGTATCACCATTGCCAAACTTACCAATTTCTCCTTGAAATTATATTAAAACTTTTATTTTTAAAAAATAAAAATGCATGTTTGCTACTTCAACTTTGTAAGTTGTACCAGTTGTGGTGCTGGTAACCAAACAAAATGTAATTGCTGGTTAAAATGTTAGTTATTACTTATTTTTAATGTATTCAAGTGCTCACTTCATATTTATGTTTCATAACTTATTTTTATATATTCTACTTTATTTTCAGAACTCAAGTGGGTCACTTGAAATTATAAAATAGATCACAGGTTGTCAAGGCATGATTTAGGATTGAATAAGAGATGAGCAAGATGCTATCCTGTTTTTTCAAGAAAGAGATCTTATTCACAAAGAAATATTGTGTTCAAATAATCACCTCATGAAATTAAAAGATGACTCAACCAAATGCCTGTGTAGACTCCATTCCTTTGGGAAGAATAAGGTTTCCGAATACAGATATGGTTTGTTGGATTATGTCTTCTTTTTTTACTGCTGATATATTTAATTATAGTGTCAAGAGTTAACATCTACTGAGTTTTGCAAGACAAAGCCTACTTTGAATGAAAGACAATGCAATGGCTGACTGAAATAATTTCACAAAAAAATCTATGTGCCAACTTTCTTAATGTTAAAAATCAATGGATGATGCAAAATTGTGGAAACTAATGAAAGCTTATTCACAAAAAAGGAAAAAAAAAAAAAGAATAGTGTTTCCAAGTTCTTTCCCCAAAATGGGTTTCTGAAGGATATTATCCTTAAATTGAAGAATATTTCCTTGCTGATTCCAATCATTTTGTTTATCTTAAGTTAAACCAGAAAGTGGGGAGGGGGATATGCCAAAATGTACCAATATGGCTGAAAATAACTTTAATAGAAAAGTAGCTACAAAAGTGATATATAATATTTAACTATAAAATTAAAGCAATTTTATGTTATTACACATATTGCACATTGTATCAAATAACTGCGAAAAAATTATATCTATATCTTCTACAATTTTCTACAATTAAAATTTAAAAATACTACATACATACACACAGATATACAGTACAAAGTCTGAAATTTGGATATCCATTATCCAGAATGATCTAAAATCCAGACCTTAAGGCCACAAACATTTTTTTAATTATTGTTATTAATGCTTTACGCATGCGCATTTGATTTTTCCTCACATAATAAAACATGTGGAGATTTTCACTTAAAAATTCCGTTCTTATTTCCTTATGCCCTAACTAAATGCCTCATATGAAAACAATACGTAAGCATAATTGTGGATTAATAGTTGGCTCCATACCAGAGTGTCTACTGGCATACATCTCAAACCGAAACTGTTATACCTGATGCCGACCAGGCTAGTCATTATTTATTATATTAGCTTTATCATCATGTTTTTATCTACATGACAACTTCAGTAATACTCATGCTGTCATGTCTAAACTTTTTTTTTTATTATAATTAATAACGAGTAGGGCAACCTTTATGCTACATAGCTAGCATTTGACGGGGGAAATTCAACAAATTTTTTTCATATGCAAAAATAGTTTTGTCTGAACTCAAGGCCAGATTACCTTAGTTATATTTACTTAAGAATAATTGATATGTTATTCACCATAAACCTAGAAGCAGCGCAGAAATGTCGGCCACCAACCAGAATTTAGGGAAGATGAATTTTTTGGAATTTGGGGAAGGACGGAGCAGCAAAATTAAGGGATGAGAAGTTTTTATGATTTAGGGAAAGCACTGGGATCCAAAGTTTAGGCACGGTGAAAATTTAGAAATTAGGAAAGCACTTTGTAGCAGAATTTAGGACCCGTAGAGACCGCAGGCGCTATCGAGCGCCGGCCCTAGATAAAGCCTTAAGTATATGTGGAAGTTTATTTATTCAGGACTCGGACTAGTAAGAAGCATGTGCAAGAAATAAACGTAGGTATAGTAAATAACTAATATAATTCAGGCTTAATTCAGTATGCAATAGGAGCAATAAAAAATTTAGCGAAACAACTTGGCTTTCGTCGCCAATCTTGTGAAAAACAGCCAATAATGTATAACGGACGCTATTAAACTAGACTAAAATTATCTTTACTTATTCTAAGGCATTTCAATTATTGTAGTAGACTGTGCTGCTCCCTGATCTTCTAATTTGATCCAGCTTATTAGTTTCTGCAGACTGTTATTATTACAGCAATTTTATAAAAACTAAGCTTGAACTTTCGAGCTGCCCAGTCGGTATAGTGGTCAGGGAAGCTGACTGGGATATCGAAGGGCCTGGGTTCAAATCCCGGAGAAGGCATGGTTGTAACTGTCCATCCCTACATAGGAAACTATTAGGTGCCTCCATAATAAAGAGACCACCACACCTGGCCTTGTATAGATTAATGGACTGGGTTACATCTGTAATTGTTCACAATCTGCCATTGGAAAAAAAAAAGCTTGAACTTTCGATTATGTCGAAAAGAGTTTCCAATTCTGGAGTAGCCAAAGGATCTACAAAGCGAAACCATGTTTCGATGTACAAAAAGTGGCGTCGCTGCAAAAATGATTGGATGCAATGGATAAAGGCATATCCGTTTCAAAATTATGCGAGAAGTATGGCATTGGAAAGTCCACTATATATACACAAGAAAAAAGGAATTTTTGAATTTTTTATGGAAGCATCTTAAACACATTGAAAGAAATGTTTAATAAAGTAAACAAATAAATATTAAGCTCCTTTTTGTAAATTTTGGTACCCTTTAGATCATAGTTGTTTTTTATTTCATAAATTATGATTTAATATTTTTAATTGTATCATTTCTGCATGCCATCTTACCAGATTTTAAATTGATGATCTATTATCCGGAAAAATCCCAAATCCGGAATCACCGAAGTCCCGACCAGTCCGGATTTCTGACTTTGTACTGTATATACTAAATAACATCAAACATGTTACTAAATAACATCAACTTTATATAAAAGTAGACTACATACTTTTTTCTTTTAACCCTTTTCCAAAGCCATAAAGAATGAAATACACTGTTGAGATAATAAGACAGACCCATATCACTAATGCAAAATAGCCACAGGCAAATGTGCTGTCATAGGTTGCATTATCGCTGTCTTCAAAATTTGCAGTCTAAAATTTGAATAAAAAGCAAAATGAAAAATAAAATAAATTTTTAATAATTTCTGCAACAAAAATAGAGCGTGCTGTTCTATTTCAATTTAAATATTTAACAGAAAGTATTCAATAGCAAAAAATACATGATTACAACTATTTACATGCAGCTTCTAAAGAAAGTTGTGTGAATGTTACTAAATATTAGCACAAATACTGATGAATGCTTCCATGTGATACTCATTGCACAAAAGTTTGACATTTTTAGCAATATTAACTTTTTTGTGTTTGTTAAACTTTTATAATAAAATAGATGATACCCTGATGCATATTTAGTAAATTTAGCAAAACATGTTCACTTTTGAACATTTCTTATGATTTACCCAAATACAATTTTCAGATGCTTAACTTTCAAAATTTTATTCAGTTCTAATTACAAACTGTAAGAGTTATGAGAAATTTCTCACATGAAACACAAAATTTTTTCTAAAATAATAATTTGTAGGGTGGGAAAAAAGGAGGGATACTTCTGTTTACAGTACCATTTCAGAAATGGAAATGATGTATTTCCACTTTAGCAAAAAATGAACGGTTACCAATCTGCCCTCTGCCCATGCAATTTACATTTAACATTTGCACATTTTTTATGTTCCTTCAGCTAGTGAAATTTCCTTGGTTTTCCCTGCTAAATATTTATTATGCTAACGATTTTGATTCTTCCATCTCATGGAGGCAAGTCAAATGGCAAAACAAAACAGATTTATAGCTCACCACGGAGTCCCACGTAGCATAGTTTATGTTCAGGCATCATGTCAGCCATAATAATGTGTTTGGCACGTTATTAGCAGCAATTTCAGAACTGTGGCAAATATAAAGTTTCTATTTAAAATGAAATTCAGTTATGATTCCATACATTATTTAAATAATTTGCTTAAAAAATTGTATTAAATAATAATTACAATTTAGATTAAATTCCTTCTGTATGCATGTATTAAATACTGTGTACTGCAAATACTGAATCAACTGCTTGAGAATAACAAAAGCTGAAATATGCCAATTTTCATTTCTTCCAAAGGATATTATGACATACAGACAACAAAAAAGATATTACAATTACAACTTAACTCATAAACCCATTCCTTTAGTACAGATTGCATACTGTCTGCTATGTATCTCTCTGTGTATATAACTGAAAAATACAAAGTAAAAGCAGTTCAAAATTTAACTAAACTGCACATTGGTAGCAGCAAGAAATGGTGATAACAATGCAAAAAAAATAAGTTTAAAATTCATCACATATTCAACTCAAAATAAATTGCATGCACACACAAAAAACAAAAAAAGGGGGGGCAATCTTGGGGGGAAACCAGATGGGCAAAATAAGGCAAAATGAAATATGAAATTTACATCCTTTGCTGTGTCGTCAACAGGGGGTTGGTAAAATAAATTTTAAAATAAAAATTAATTTTAAAAAAAATCTAAAAGGTTTCGGATTTTAAATTATGTCCAAAGGGGCATTTTTTTAATGTTTAATGTCTTACCTTTATTTATTAAATATCATGTTCTTTGCACTTAAACCATTAAATTCAGTTCAATAGCAATGTCGCAAAATAATTTTTAAATGAGCAAGTCTTTAGAATTTCCGATACACAGTTTGACACGCTGGAGATAAAATGGTTTTCCCCCGCAGAGTGTTGCCATTGATCACTTTTAAATCATTGAGTTTGTTAATCAAAAATTCGTTAAAGTTTTACAAAATATGATATCGATAATAAAATAAATCCCAAATTTCAAATTTGATCTCCCACATGCCCGTATTCGTAGGAGGATTACGTCATTCAAAATTGGATGGCTCTATGTACCGTTGTTTTATCACAATGCGAGAAATATATATACATTTATGCAGAGTTTTCATTAATTTCTTCAAGTATAATGCAGGACTCTAACATTTTGATGGCAACAGTTTGAAAAGTGATTCGTCGTTTATAGTGATTTAACACAAAATCGCGAAAAGAAAACAATAGTCCTTCAGGCACAAAGCAGCTTTGGACTAAAAAGCTTGTTTTTGAACTGATAAAGGCACAAATTAAAGTTTTAAACTTAAAACTAATCTTAGAAAAACAATAAAAGCAATCTGTGCATTTATCAGTCCTACCCTTACAGTATAAAGTAGACAGTGCCAAAAAAAATTCCAAAATTATAGTATCAAAAACATTAAGTTCAAAATAACTGTGAAATAAAGCTTCAAAATCTAATAATAATTTACAATTTGAGTGGATCAAATTCAAAAACATGTAAAACAAATAATCCAACATATGAAAAAATTAATGAAATGCATGAAAATTTTATCTTTTCTCCCCCCCCCCTGGATTTTGCATGTGATTTATTCCAAATTGAATATGTGATGAATTTTAAATATACTTTTTTGTTTTACTTTACAAATACACTGAAGTGCCACTGAATTAGTAATAGGCATGACTATGCAAAATGTGTAGCACTGCACCAAATTTATGCTCATGTGAGGGTGCTGTAGTACCTGCATACATAGCTAGTAATGTGGTCATTGTTAGTCAGATGACAAACTTTGTGATCTTTAAATATAATTTAAACTTTTTCTAAAATTACTCCAACAAGCAACATAAAAAAATCCAAATAATAATAATATCAAGTTTACAAATATTTTTTCTTAAAAACATGGCAAAAGACAACATAGCTTTGTAAATGTAGTATTTAAAAACAATTTTTTATGCCCTAAATAACACAACAAATGTAGATGACAGAAAATACAATGTATCTATAATACCTTCTCATGTATATGTGAATATAACTATTCTTTCTGATGAAAATCGTCTTGAAAGATCCTTTTCTAATGCATGCTAGAAATCCTACATTGAAAAGACCTTATCAAATGTGAAATACTAACATTTATAATTTCTCTAGCATCATCAAATATCAGCAATGCACACCAGTGGTAGAGTGGTTAACACCATTGAACATGTGTAGTTCAACCTGGGTTAAAACCCAGGCAAATGAGCTAGCTGCATGGTTGGGTTTTTTGGTTTTCCACACGTTTAACATGAATACAAGCCACTTAACATATGAAAATCTTCCAAAAAAGCCAAAAAGGCTCCCTTTCCTTAGGCAAATAGCCTTCATGAGCTTTGCTATATTCCAGTACCTCCTAACCTAGACAGTTACATAATGCTGATGCTATATATAAAGACAAAAATAAAATATGAATCCAATAATGTTTTACTGCTTGATTTCAAAATCAATCTGACTTTGCACAATCTTCCTCTATTAATGAAAAATCTTAATCATTGACGCTTTTTTCCTTGTACTTTTGGTTTTCTTACAACAGCCTTTTTTTTAAGCCATTTATGCAGCTTCTTTAAAATATATTACTTTGTTTAAATATACTAACAGATTTGTTTATATATGTTAAGGGGGGAATGAATCATTGATATACATCTATAACACACATGAAAAATAAAGAACACAAATGTTTTTCATTACTCAATAAAATTTCTTCCCTGCCTACAGCATTACGTTACTATGTTAAACTACATCATTACATTAAATTTATTTTTTCAACTTACCCAATAAAACTTGTATACGATATATATAGGTTCCAGCAACCCCAAGATGTAAAACAGTACCATCAAAGTTTTATTCTCATACCTCAGCTAAAATAAAGAATTAGGAACTCTAAAATTATAATTTATGCACTTTTGAGTAAGTAAAATTAATATATGTGGATACTGACATAAACTAATTAGATACAACAGAATAGTGAATTAAAGACAAAAATAAATCTAGATATAAATATTGAAGCTTTTAACCCTCCAAGCATTATGGATTTAGCCCTGAAATTTCAAAAGTTCCTCAAAATATCATGAATAAATGATGTTTTTTAAAATAAAAACAACTCTCCTACTTTGCACTTTGATTACTTTTCTTCCAATATACATCCAACCCAAAATCAGAAATGTTAAAAGCTGGCAGACATTTTCATGTGTAATGAATAACAAAGCCACCCTTCTATACAGAATTCTACATCCATAATGCTGAGAGGAATAAAACTGAAATTATTTTTGTTTAGTCTTAATTTTACTTAATATTAAAGATTTAATTTTATGAATTAGCAACAAATGATATTGCTTTTTATTTAAGAGCAGGAAGGAAACATTGACATGATCATTTTTGTACAGTATAAAATCCGAGATCTGGAGTCGTCAGAAGTTCAGAAACTTTGGATTTCGGAAATTTCCAGATTTTGAATTATCAGTTTAAATCTAATAAGATGAATCTCAGTTAATCTGGAAAAACATCACATTTACAGCACATCTTCTCTTTTATTTTTTTTCGGGGGGGGGGGGGTATTATATTCTCTATTTCTAAACTTTGTAAGGGAAGGAGGCACTTTTTGTGCGAGTGCTGCTGATCTGGAGGTTCAGATAGTAGATCTTTCCAGATACTCGACATCTAGAATTCAGACCTTATATTGTGTTTCATATTTTTTTAAATAAAACATAATAATATGCCCCCTTTTTATGTACATGTGTGTTAGACTGAAATTTGTAACTGAAATTTTTAGATTACAAATTCAAGACTTTTAATTAGTAATAAATTTTAGGTTTGTGAAATAAGATACTCAACTTGAAAATTATATCCAAAAAATGACAGCATGATGCATTAAATAAGGATGCACTGAATGAAAAAAACATATTTGCTGTTAGGTTAATCAACTGGATGCAGGGTTGAAACAGCCTAACTTCTGATTTAGAACATAGAAAAAATTTTGATGTGAGCAGTAGGTGATTTAATCTGATAAAGAGTGGAAAGCAAGTAACTAAATTGCTTGATCAGTAATCTGGTAATAATTTAAATTATTCAGACTACTTAATTTCAAGCATTTAGGAAGATTTTTCACACGTCACCAAAATTATATTGGAAGAGAAACACACCAATGTAAAATTTAAAATTATGAAAAAAAGGCAACTTATATTCAACAATTCGGCATAGATTTTGAACACTACTTGATTTTGAAAATCATCAGACACAGGTCCTCTTTCTGCAGAAGGAATGTCATGTAGTGTCTTCAGCCTGATTATGAAAGAGAATTATTTTAAATATAACAAGTTTATCCCTTTGATGGCTCATGTACTTGTATAATCTAAGTGACTCGTACAATATGGATACATATAACACAGAACATATCAACTGTGTTATAGGAGTTTTATTGTATAATTAATTTAAACTACAGATTTTTCAACTGTTAATAATTGCGGAGAATTGTGGATGATTAATGCCATAACAAAAGCTGGTGTTTTAATGTATAGTGTTCTATATTTTATTTTTCAGTCAAACAAAGCACTATAGAAAATTATTTATATTTGCTATATAACACCCCAGTGCAAAGCCTACAATATGATACAGCAAATTTGAGACATATATTTTAACTGAATATTACTTATAATTGCATTATAAACCTACTCTAAAAATTATGAAGAAAATCATTTTCATTCCAAAGAAAATGTAAGCTTATTTTAATTTATTTCCTTATTTAATGGCAATTATAAATTCATTAATTACATAGCCACAGATGACAAGTTTTGTCAAATTTTAGTAATTTGAATTTAACCAATTAGTACCTTAATTATCACATTTTAACACTAAAATTATGGAAGTGGTCATTTTGACCTCACATGAAATTAACTTAATGACTTTCTTTAATACCGGCTGTGGTACAAGTGTCGTACTAGCATTTCCCTCTATATTTTAGAGTAAATCGCCTATCTATAGACCTCTGGGTGGTTCATTGTCGCTGATCAGAATAGCCGCTGGCAACGCATTGTTTCCCTCATCTTATCAGTTTTGCTAAATTTTGGTGAAAACCGCAGGTTTTGTCTCGCACCAATATACTTGAAAATCAAATAGAAGCTATCTCTTTTTCAAACGTTAGAGCAGTCTCATAATTTTAGTGCTAACTTTTGCTATGATTAAAACTTCAGCGATTTTGCACGCTGTTTAAGCTTACCAGATTTAATGCTTTTTAATCTTAGCAAATAAGATTAGATTAATATTTTAGATTTAATGCCCTTCTAGAAAATAGGTAAAATCACTTTTATAGTTTAGTTCCTTTTTATAATTATGAACAATAAGATGTTACTTTGCCCCCCCCCTTTTTTTTTTTTTTTTTTTTTTTTTTTTTTTTTTGAGTGCATAAAACCCTGCAGAGCTGTTAACTCTTTCGAAATGCTTCTATTATGTAGGCAATTTTGTCCGATTTATCAGGAGACAAATGAGAGACAATTGCATGCATAATAGTTTTTGTCATTTCCATGTAAATTAAATAAAACTAATTTATCTTTATACCCTCTTTTAGGATGACATCTCCCAAAAAGTATTTAAATATCATTAAAGCTCATGTAACTTCTAAATTAAGTCAAAACATCAGTTACTTTGCATAAAATTTCGGCCAGTTTTATTTGCTGAAATTCATATACTCCTCAAGAGATAAAGAGAATTCAGGTAAGTTAATAAAAAACTTATCTTTAAAAAGGAATGTTATTTTGTCTGTAATAAGGTGTATGTCAACTTACTATTAAATGTATGACAATTAAGATTGGATTACAGAAAAGTACGCGAATGCCATCTGCTTAAGGGAATGGATACTTCCATGTAAACCCTTTTCAGAGAAAATTGCTTGCATTTACGTTCCTGAAGGAAAATTCCACATGTAATCAAACCAATCTCTGGGTATGACTGGATTAATTTTGTTCACTTACTGAATTACATCAAAAGCACACAACAATTATCTGTATAAGGGGAGGGATGCCTTTACGGAGGACTTTCTAATGAAAGCTGGCTTGTATTTGCGTAACACAAAACCATGAGTCTACCCCTTTAGCCGGGATTCAAACTCGAGCGAGCTACAAGTGTTCAGCCACCTTTACCGCTCTACTTAAGGGTCCGTAAAAAATTGACGAAGAAAAAGCATTGAAATAACCAGTTTAATTTACTAACCCAGTGGTCGGCAAAGTGCGGCTCTTTGGCTCCTTAAGTGCGGCTCTGGTACAAATATCCATGGAAGGCGCAATAATATTTTCATTTAAAAAAACTTGGTAAGAAAAAAATTACATCTTATTTTGATAAATTAAAATTCTTCTATAAATCGAGAACATGTATAATTTTTTGTTTGAGTAAAAAGATAGATAAGTAATTAAAATTTTATATTGTTGTAAAAATACGTAATGAACATCGAGTTTAATTTTATTACTTTCCATAAACATAAACCATGTACAAGCTACCGGCATGCACATTCATGCTTTTTATAAAGTAGTGAAGGTACAAATTGGCATCACAGAGCAGCAGTTGCAGTGTGAACAGTTTTTGTCTTATCTACCGTGTCTGCTGTAGTCCTGTCTTATTAAAAAGTTGTTGAATTTTTAAATCTAGCTACACATCTTACAAGTATTTTTATATGATTTTATTACACCTGCTATGTATGTTTGTGGTTCCAGTGCAAAATTTATATTTGAGTTTTTGATAACTTCTATTTGTCCAAATGTTGGAAGTTTCCTCCCATTTTTGGTCATATTAAACGTTTTGTTATTTTGATGATGGAGAAAATTATTTTTTTCTTTTTAGTGCAGTTACATATATTAATAAAATCGTATTTTTTAAAAAGATTTTTTTTTAAATTTTAGTTTCATCAATTTAATAATGATAATAATTTTATACCGGTGGCTTTAGAAAAAATATATTTAGAATATTTTTATAGACACCCCAATTAACATGGCTACCAAAAAAAAAGCAAAGAAAAACGGAAGATGGAAACCACGAATTTAAAGTTGAGTGGACCGAGAATTTTGCGTTTATTCAAAACTTGAACGGACTTCCGACATGTCTTATTTGTAAGGAGAAATTTGCGCATAACAAGTCAAATTTAGAGAGACACTTTACAAGAAAGCATGCGTCATTTAGCATTAAATATCCTACCAGTGATGCAAGGAAGAAAGCAGTTGAGGAATTTCAGAAGAGTCGTCAACTTCTGTGTTTAATAACTGGATGCAATCTTCCAGCAATATTAATATAGCAATGTCATGATAGGAATGTTTGTAGCCAAGAGATTGCTAAGAAAGGAAAACCGTACACAGACGGCGAATACATAAAAAATTTTTTTATAAATGCATCCGAAGAGCCATTTCTGGATTTTAAGAAAAAAAGCAAATATTCAGAAAAGAATTACCATTGTCTGCCAAAACCATTAAAGATAGAACTATTAAAATTCGAATAGAACCACCCACCATATCAAAGATCTGAAATTGGTTTCAGCTTTATCAATAGCAGTTGACAAGTCTTGTGACATAAATGATACAGCTCAAGTTTCACTTTTTGTAAGATTTATGTCTCATTCAGGCCCTAAAGAAGAACTTTTAGGATTATTGCCCCTCAAAGGTTAGACGCGTGGAGAAGATATCGCCAATGCTGTAATTGAGTGTATGGACAAACATCATAGTCCCTTCAATAAAATTGATTTCAACAGATGGGGCCAAAAGTATGACCAGAGTAAGAAAAGGGATTGTTGCTATTCTGAAAGAAAAAATTAATCATGAGATACTTGTTTATCATTGTATCATTCACCAAGAAGCGCCTTGTGCGCAAACATTTCCGCAAGAAA